ATTTATTTATTTCATGTTGAATAATTGTAGTGTATAATGACATGAAAAAAATAATATTTTACTCTAATTAGTTCTCATAAAGTTTGAGCATATATGAGTTGAGAATATTTCACCTATAGACACAGTATATATATATATTTTGGGGTGTTGAAATGCATTTAACAAAAATAGGAAACCCAAGGGTGAATATGACTTTGCTAAAATTGGCCAATTTGAACCTCCATTAATTCATCCATACAACACATGATTATCTATATTTAAATTGCACCAAAACCCTAATTATCATGTATACTTCTCCTCAATCCGACCAACAAGATAAATACATGAGGTCATCCTAAATTTGCTTCCCCTTCTATTTACAAAACAATTTGTAAAAGAGTAAAATGTCAAAATAGTACTATATTATTTACACGAGTCCGTTTTAGTCAATAAATTTATAGAAGTGTCAATATATTTCTCACATTAAATTTGAATCGAAATAATTTTATTAGATGAATTTCATAGTTTAATTTTAAAATATTTAAAGATTATTTTGATATGACTGCAATGGCCCTATAGAAATAATCAGAAAATATTTTAGCACTTATATGTAAATCCATAATATTATGTAAAATAAAACACATATATATATATAGGCGGCAAGATGGCAGTGGATCTGAGAAGGCAGTGGACAAGATGAGGCCTTGGGAGTTGGAGCTTTCGGTTATCCTTTTTTCCTCATTTATATTGTAAGCTTACTTTCCATTACACGTTCTTTCAGTAGGGGAAGAAAGCTATGCCTATGGCTATACATATCACTTGGAAAGAAAGAAAGTAGCTGTATATATAGGGACACAAAGAAAGAGAAAGCTAGCGATAAAACAGAGCAATAGACAAAGAGAAACATTAAGTTTAGAAGGTCAAGCGCTGATCTTTATTTCTTTTTTGTATTGACTATCAAGCATTAAAACTGAGGGTTAGGTAGTTCTATAAATATATTTTTATTTGATTTTTTAGCCTGTAAAATGTGAAAGTTAAATATATGTGCATGAGTTATAAACATTCTAAAAAAATTCTAAAAAAATACAACAATTGTTAATAAAAAACTAAGATTTTTTCAATCAATATATATATATGATTATATTGACTAAAAACTCGAAACAAGTGATACTTTAATGGCACAAATATTAGCGACGTGAAAATACATTTTTTGTTGTAATTTTGTTAAAGTCAAAGCATTGGTTTTGACTTGTCATTCTCTGAGCCGGGGCATCTTTGACATTGTAAACATTGCTTTTTCTGCATGAGTCACATCCATAGATTTGGGCACTTGTGAGGTCAGGCCTCCATTTAATTATCAATACGCAATTTAGTTTAAATAAAAATATAAGAAAAATACAAAATGTAATATAGTTTTAAAAATAAAAAATATAATTTTAAAAATTTATAAAAACACTATTAAAAAAATAGGAGAGCCTGATGCATTGGTGAAAAAAAGGCACTAAGAGCAGCCTTCCTTGAATGAAAGTGTGTTGCAATACCTTATGAATATAAAAATGGGGCTATATTTAAAATATTACTATTTATTAAAATAACCCCCTCTTTCATATATTTTAAAATTTCATCATAAAAATCAAAATTCACTATAAAACTCCAACCCATATTTTCATTTTTATCAAATTTCAGATGGATTTATATTGGCATGCCTAACTGCATGAGTTCAATATTTCATAACATCACATGGGTGATACTATATATGTATTCTTGGTGCATGAATCAGCATAAGCAAGGAATATCATTTCTTCAAGCTAAACAAAAATTAAATAAGCATAAGATATTTATTAACCGCTGCAAAGGAGAATTAAAGGGTGCTTTAATATGCAATATAAAATATGTCTGAGGGTCTGGAGCTATATATAGCTGTCTTCTGGAGCTATAGATAAGCCTACAATATAAGCCTTATTGTGAAATTAATTAAAATTATATGTCCATCAAATTAATTCAGCTGTCATAAGTCTGAACCTTATATTAGTTATTTAATATTATTAAATATAAAACATTGATAAAAAAAAATATATTACATGTAAACATACCTGATTTTCATGACTTATTTTCACTACAGTCCAATGGACTTTTGGAATTTTCTTTGGAAAAGCAAACAAAACACACTATTTAATGTCATAACTTTTGATTGTTTCCATTAATGTGGGCAACAGTGATTAAAATTATTTAGCAGTATGTTAAGTATGATTAATTGTCATGCTTTAGATATTGTTCAATATAAATTGAATTTGTTTTAATATTTATTTATTAAAAAGGAGATATAATTTTTCCTATTAATTTTTATTTGGTTTGATCTTCTATTTATTGATATTTTAACAATTATATTCAAAATTATGAAGAAAAGTAATAATAATCATATAGTTTTTGCTCATTAATGTTGTTTGTATGCATGTGAAAACTACTCATTAATATGCTTCTTATCAGCCTTGCATTTAGAAACATCATTTGATTTTGAAGTTTTTAAATGCTTTCATTAAGTTTTTATATTATGTTCTGCCTTGCATTTAGAAACATCATTTGATTTTGAAGTTCTCACATACTTTCATTAAGTTTTTATTATGATGGTTATTTGTTAATCAAAGTTAATTAGATTATTATGTTATAGATTTTGAGTTTATTTCAGGTCTACACCTAATTTATTTCATGTAAATTTTAATATATTTTAAAATTTGTTAAAATTTTCAATATCACTGCTTGCTTTAAAATTATGTTTTAGTATTTCATGAGGATCTCACACATAAATACATATAGAAAAAAGAGTATAAAATACATTGAAGTCTTAACAAAAATACTCTAAAAGGAAAAAAATATTAGGGCCCAGCCTAAGAGAAATAATCTACTATATTTGTTGAGATTTTCAAAGTTTGATTTTCCCCTTACTTTGAGGAGATGGGATTGCAATGAGTAATGAGCTCAACTCTAACTCATTATTGCAAAATTGTGATGGCATAGAGGTGGTGAATATGATAGCAGGCAATTTTAGTTGGACTACAATGACAACAACTGAACAATGGTGGTCATGCAACAAGTGTCAGACAACAATGATATCCATCAAACAATGGTGGTTCAATGATGTTAATCAGATGAGTGCAACTATCCAATAATGATTGAACCATACTAATCCAGCAATAATGGTATGACTATGACTGTCAGTTGATGAAGACTACTTGATGACCGCCAGTTTAAGTTGATGAGTAGGGCTTGAAAGTCCTATAGCTTGGACTCCAAGCTCTCTCTAGATGTAGGTTTGGTCCCGTTCATGTGCGGAGAATTGCTCTAATTATAATTATTTAGATTGACATTTTGATAATTTTGATTAAAATTTTAAAACCTCATAAGACAACTTATGTTAAATTCTTTGATCATATATTACTTTCAACATTTAAGTACTATAATGATCTCAAATTTGAGTGATATTGATCTCATTGAATTTTCAATCTTTAATGACCTATGTTTTGCTGCTGTGGTATTTATGAATAAAATAGAGAAATTAATTTATCATTCCTTAAAAGTTTTTTTTAGCATTTTTTTTATATCAATCCCTTTAATTTGGGTTGTAAAGAATTTTTTTATATATATATTTTGACAATTAAAAATATATAATTTGTGTGTTTTATTAGTTGGGTGATGATTTTCTCCATCACCAAAAATTTCAAGAACTTTCACTGATTTCAAAGGTTTAAAATAGGTGTAATCCTAAAAAAAAATTCAAGCTTTAGAGAAGTTTTCAGCCTAAGATGCCATGACATCATTAAATAACAAAGTCACTTAACTAATGCTTTGGCATTACTACTCCTTATAAGATAATATTAAATGAAATATTTGATGGTTTTAATGACACAATGACATTGTGAGTGACATTGTGTGTTTTGTGAGAGATTATTTTACATATATATATATATATATATATATATATGAAGGATGATATACATTAAAATATCGATAAAAGGGTCTATTTTTCTTTTAATTTTTTTTATTTGCACAATATTTTTTTTTGTTTGCACAATAATAAAGTTATGCACCCTCAAGGAGGAGGTTGGTTTCACTAAGGGTCAAAGCGAGTCGAGTCAAACTCAAAGCACCTTCGAATTGAGCTTGATTAATTTTATCGAGTTCGAGCTCGAGCTTAAGTCTATGATTTCAAGTTGGCTTGCAAGCCGTCTTATTTAAGACAAAAGAGAGAAAATAATATTAATTTAAACTAACTTTATAATAAGATGTAAAATAAAATGAACAATTAGAAGATAAATAATAAGAAACATCAAATATACAATACAAATGTTATTTTTAAAACTCTTTTAATATATTAAAAATAAAATCTTAAGATTTAATTTCTTTTAATTATATTTTATATTAACATTTTTTTTAAACGAGCCAGTTCATGAACTAATGAGTCGAGTCGAGTCTAGCTTGAGGTTGGCTTGTTAGCTCATCAAGCTTGGTTCACGAGCCACAATATCGAGCCGATCTCAAATTGGCTCACAAGCCGACTTGACTCACACTCCTATGTTCCACTTCTAAAAATGGGATCACATTAGGTTTGCCATGAGACACTTTAAACTTACTATTTAAAAATTCATCAAAAGTGACTACTAATATAATAATTAAACCACAATTATAATTAAACAAATCATGTAAACAAATATTGGACATAATCCATCCACTTAATTTACATCCATAACCTTTAAAACAGTAAAATTAAATTATTTAAGATCACGAACACATTATAGCTAATTAAATCAATGATATAAAAGAAATTATGCATTTGCAATCACATAAAAAAATTGACTAGTATCAACATTTAAAAAAAATGAAGCACACATTTTCATATATACATTTATAAAATCAAAATAATGTGAATGTAAATATTAAATTTTAGATGTTAGACATCATTAAACAGTAAACAAAAAATTATTTCATAAATATGTTGCCAAAAAAAAAAAAAAAAAAAAAGAAATCCAAAGACTATTTATCATCTTTCTTTGGCTTCCTATAGCTTTCTTCAACGTGTTTTGCCTTAGAAGACCATTCACTGAGAAGCTTCTTCATGTTTGGGACATCGTAGTTTTGAGCAATAAAGATTCCAAAGCCAATTCCCACTGCAAATGTGAAACCCTTCGTGAATATCCCCATTCTCTATTTTCAGCTCTCGGAACAAGAATCTTAGCAGCTGCCAATTCAAAATAGCTAAACTTTAGTTTTCACATAAATACCACCTAATTTCTATGTATTTACATATCTAACCGCTAAACTTTAGTTTTCACATACCACTATTTTGACTTTGAGATACATATTTTCATGCATAGTTAAAAGTGGTATACTATTAAAAATTGAAGCATTGGTGTTAGATATGTAAGAAAATATGTATGTAAAGCTGCGGAATTACATACATAACACACAATGTTTACCTACTACCTGACATTTAAATTTTCATATTTACAAACACAACACTTAAACCTTTAATATTACATAAAAAAATATCGCTATTGCTAACTTAAAAATAAAATATACATTTACATACATGAATTTATGATGCTAAAATGTTATAATTGTAAACATCAAATTTTAGGTGTTTGATGTAAAAATACATAATTGTGATATGTACCTTCTGAACATGTCATGTTTTGAAGAACTCACTACAAAGTTGGAATTGAGATGAGTTATGAACAAAACTAGTAAAATTTTTACTCTGAAGTTCTAAGGCTTTGTTGTTGTTGTTGTTGTTGGTAGCTCACCATTAATAATGCTTTAACTCAATCATTAGTCAATAGCCATTGAGTTTGGAATCATTATCATTATGTGAATTACATAGTCTACTTCCACTAGTAAGGCTCTCTTTTTATGGTAATTTGTTTTCTGTTTTTGTTGGATTCCCAGGGCAATTTTGGATTTAGAATAATAGAGAATTTTTACATCGAACATTAATAAAAAATTATTTTTTAGTTGACTCCAATAGATTTTGCATAGTTCTCTATTTTGAGAGTTTTAAGGCTAAAAACAGGACTTTGAGACAAGAAAAATTAATTAAACAATGAATGTTCAAATACAATTTTAATTTTACTATTTAATATGTGCTTGTTGGATGTGAGTTCGAGGGCTCCACAGACGTAAATGACTTTTTTTGGGGGGAAACTTCAAACCATGTGAGACCTACTTCTTCCTTCTAGGATAATATCATTGTTCTTGCTTCTACTTGATTAGTCTTTAATTTTGCGTTATGATTGAATTTTTTTTAAGAATGACACAAACAATATTTTTTGTGCGAACTTGATTAAATGTTTGATTTTATTATTCTGTAGTTGAATTCAAAAGTGATAAAGTTTCGCTAAAATTATGAGTTTGTAACCTATGAATAATTATTTTTTAATTTTTTTTTTTAATATTACATCTCATCCAAAGCTTATTTTATAAACACTAGAACAAAGACATCCAAAATCAACTTGATATTACAGACCATGTTAGAGTCAACATGCCATTTAAAAATGGAGAGATTTATATCATCAAACTCAACATTTTAAAAGAATTATTAATAAAATAATATCAATTAACCACAACAATATATCAAATTAACAAACAAAATAAAATGTTGGAAAATAATCAACCACACCAATGACAAGCCCTTTGATTTCAATGATTGCCATAACTAGAATGTTAAGGTTGATGCTACAACTTACAATGGGAGGATATATCCTAAAGCTTTATTATATTTGGATAAAGGCTCAGGATAATTTCTCTGATTGATAAACAATTTTGAAAGAGAAAAATTAGATTTGAGAAATTAAAACTTACTAGTCAAATAAAGAAGTAACGGATAGGAGTAAAATGATAAAGAAAACATTAAAGTTAAAACACCACAACATGGCTGAGAAGAAATTATTATTTAAGGAAGAATACTCACTCGTATATTATCAAGATTGACTACTCGATGAGTTAACTCACATAAGGACTATAAATTGGTCCATGAACAAATTCAAACAATTATTGTTATGTTCTAGAATCAGAGAGAAATGGAAAATAATGTTTTGTAGATTTAGAAATGTATTAAGACTCAAAAAAAAAAAAAAAAAAAAGAGTTAAAATAATGTTAACTCACTCCTAGAGGCCTAGAGGCCTTTCAATTAGCTTTAGATTTTGAAATATAAAGCCTTCATGCACCACATAAAATCTCTTTAAAAATTAAATCCTTAGTTGAACCAAAAACCAAACTACCATGTCCAAAGGTAGTAACACATTGATAGTAAAGAATTAGAAACAAAACTAGTAATAACCACATAAGTATCCAAAATAGTTGCAAAGGCTTGTCTTAGATGCCACAACATTCTTGTTAACTACCAATCAACACAACCCACGTATGTAGACTTTCGCTCAATACTGATAAGTCAAGCAAATGTCAAGCATAGAGAATGAGAAAGTAACATCTTGAAAGATATATTTTGATGACATTGCCCCCATGAAGATTACCAGCTAATGGTGTACATCATTTGGTCAAAAACTGAAAAACCGAACCTCACTGAACAAGTTTGGTTGATTCGGTTTGGTTTCAAAAATACATTTCAGATTTTTATTTTTAAAGCCTCAATATTTGATTTTTGGTTATTTGTTTGATTTTGATTTTCACTTAACCGAACAAATCGAAAAAAACCAAAAATTCGAAACTAAATTAAGGATTCATGGAATTAATTGATGTTATACATGTAATACATGTACTTGATATATGCTCACAACCAATCTCCCACTAACAACTCAATTTTGGTTTGTTCATAATCAATTCGTTTAAACCGATTAAAATTTGGATTTCGTCGGTTTGATTTTATCAAATTTTTTATTGGTTCGGTTTTTTGGATGTCTATCGCAATCGGTTTGAACAATTTGAAACCAATCCATCCAAACCAATTGAATGCTCACCCCTATTACTAGTCCAAACCAACTTCCTAAGGTTAAGGCCAACTTATATTTGATGCATATATATCTCTTGAAGGAGTTATAATACGCTACACCTATTAATCTTTCAAACCCCATACAAACAATTAAGAAAAAATTAAGTCCTTGATCATTGGTCTGGAGTCAAGCAAACCAACATCATTACATATGCACAATTAATTATCAACTCAGTAGCAGGCACTTACGCAGTCCTTAAACCACGCCTGTTCTATTATCACCAATGGGTAAAGGACTTACTTCAACAAATTGACGATATTAGCCTTGTCAAGGGTCCCATTGTCAAGGCAGATACAGTGGCTAAACTGACAAATAAGTTGGTTGATCCAAATAATTCACCTTTGACAATTACAATCCATAAAAAAAAAGCTCATATCAACCCTGTGAGTTGAGCAGCATAAAAAAAAAAAAAAAACTCACAAGCAAAGCAAACTTCCTAGCGGCTCCTCTCTTGCCTCTTAAAACAAAAGGAGATTTTTTTTAGTATGGTTATGTCAATTATATTCTATGCAATTGTTATTCAATGTGATTGTGCTACCTCAGAAGAGATGAAGCATAAAAGATCATGAGTGAAGTAATAAAAGACTATATGATGCCCATCACGAGGCTCCAAAATAAAAATAAAAATGAAGGGTCTAGAACTTCCTAACAATGACTAAAAACTGCATTTAGCATGCTCAAATATGCCTATCAATGCCAGATAAATGAAAATAGTTTGCATCAACCATTGAATTCACATGACTAAAATAAGAAATCATAGCCCTTTGAGTGTTGGGGATCATAATAACTGGTCCTATTGACTCTGACTTTAAAGGATCATAAGTTCATTTTAGCAGTCGCTGACAATTCTAAATGGGCAAAACTATAACCCTTAAAAAGAAATGATGGACAATGTGTTGTAATTTTTTTGGGACCAACCAAATTGTGTACTGCTTTGACATACCTTGAAGAATCAAATCAAATAATGAAATCACATTCAAAAGTATAAAGATTGGCAAATTTGTCCGATGCCACCAAATGGACAAGCAATACTTTACAATATATTAATCTAGGGCAAATGGGGCAATTGGTCTAAATAAAGTCTTTAATAAAACTTTGACAAAACTTATGAAAAAATTGCTTTTTGCAAATATAAGGGAAAGGCACAATAAGCTCATTGAAACACTATGGGGAATAAAACTACAGATCATACATCAACTAATTGAATCCATATGCATTGACTACTGTGGTAAAAGATGCGCTTCATTTGGAAGTTGAACTCTCCCATCTACCATCGATCTTGAACACTAGCTTACTGAAGATCATAACGCATGTCTATGGCTTGAGGAACTTGGCAAATTCAGATTGCAAACTTATCAAAACCTTGAGGTCTATCATGCATGGATATCCTCAGCACGTGCTATAGTAGCCCAACAAAGAGCTTTCCATAGTTGGAAAGCTTGTGCTAACCTTGCAAGAGCCTATAGTAACAAACTGCCACAAATTCAGGTTCGAGCCCATTTGGAAAGATTCCTTCGTTACAAAAGAAGTATAGAAAGATGAATCTTACCAGCTCATTGACCATAAAGGCACACATCCAATACCTCCCGTCAATGAATGCTACCTTAAGTGATAAAAATAAAAATGTACATTCAAGTTCCGACATTTTTTTTTCAGTCAGAGCAAGTGTCATCATTATATCTTAAAGTACTTATGGAGAAAATATGCCTTAAAACTTCTTTTCATTGAAGTAACTAACAAATGTTCATTGTTTATGCTTTCTTTAATGCAAGGATAATAGTTCTTTTTTATAGTGTTGCAAACACCTTTGTATGAATATTATTGCAATAATTAGACTTACTAAATATTCGGTTCCTGATTTACTTGGGTCATAAGCTAAGTTTGGGTCAACAAAATCCAAATGTAGGTCTAAAATACATTCAATTCTCCATTTAGCTTGATGAGAAGTTGGGTAAAATCATAACTCTCAAATGCAAGTTCACAACCTCTCCCCAAATTTAGCTTCTCAGAAGCTAGGTCCTGGACAACAAGGCCTACAAAATTATCTTCTCTAGGTTAGCTTTTTAAAAGCAAGTTTTATATATATATATATATTAATGTGTTTAGTCGCCAGTTCTTCCGAGTCCATATAAATTATCTTTGGTTTAAAAGTTTGACTAGATCTAGGCTATCGACTTAAATTTTTTTTTGGTAAAGGCATGGTGAAATAAATTACAGTATTATACTAATTTA